TCTCTTAATATTTCCATCTGTATGTCCAAACAGATCCATACCAAGAGTTGGTCGTAAATCAAAAACAACCATCAAAAATTAAGAACGCCTTCCAGAAAAAAAATATTATGATGAATGTCACAACCTCATTCTTCTCTTTAAAATACAAAATACTTATGGACGACGATTAGTGGATAATATAGATTGTTGGCACCTAAGGTCAAATTAATTCTTGCATAAACGGTTTCCAAATTCCGCACCCTTTTTTATGACTTACTCGTTTCTGTAATTTCGTTCATCTTAAACTTCAGCAACATCATTAAATGCTGCAAATGGACAGACAGATAAGCAAAAATAAACCGTTTCTTCCTCAAGAAGAAAGCTCTTGAAAGCCCATCAAAAAGTTTTTTTGTGTATAGTCCAATTTAATGCTGCAAGCTAATTTTTCAACGTCAGATAAATTTGTTTAAGACACGTGAGTCAAATTTCAAATACAAGACATAAGAAAATTCATTCAGACATTTAAAATACATCTCAAGTTGCACCCGTATCAAAATAATCGACAACTTAGTTTAATCTCAAAGAGCTGACTACAAAAATTGTGTGAAAATGAGTTCATCGAAATTTACTTGATGTTCACAAAATTAAATTAGAAAATTGTTGTTCAAAAGCATTAATTCTATAAATACAATGAAGGAATTTACTCGTAGATTGGAATGGGAGGCGCATTTATTACATTATCATAAATTGAAAGTAAACGGAACTCACAAGAGGACGAAAAAAAGGAAAAAGTAGCTTGTAGATTGTTTAAATAAATTAGTACTTGGGGAGTAAAGATCAATTGTCCATTATAAAGTTATGGACGGACTATATTTTGAGAATATAATATTCAAATGCCTTCTAATGGTTCAACATTATTGGTCTTGAAATTTGAGACTTTAAGATGCTTCAACACTTAATTGGAAATTCAATATTATCCTGTACTTTGCCATATTATAGATAAAAGCATTCCATAAAGTTTAATGGCTGATAATTGAGAAAGAATGTTGAAATTTAAATAGCAGTATTTAAGCACAAAGACATTTTTTTAACCTTCAAGGCATTAAGTTCCCGATCGGTACACATTGAAATTCGTTGAAATGTTTGCCACTCGATAGCCGAGTTCATAGTATAATTAGAAACAAGCGGCAGTCAATTGACAATAGCATCCACGTGGCAAACACTTGTTTCTAATTATACTATCAACCCGGCTGTCGGGTGGCAAACATTTCAATGTGTGCTAATCGGGGTTTAAGGATGATGGGAAAGTTGTTGTTTCCATAGTCAATATATACTTTATAAAAGATAGATGTCTAGATTATATTCTCCTAGATTATATCCTCGTATTTTGCTTATCAATTTAAAAGATCATTATTAAAATGACTTCGTAGAAGTGAAGCTCTTAAGATTTCCAATGAAAAATTCAATTCATTCCTCTTACTCTCACCATCAAACCAGTGTCACATATTTAGGTTCAAACAGATTTTTTTCATGAAGCACAACTAGCTCTAATCGTAGTTAAATATTCTGCTTTATTCAACCTATATATAGAAACTTTTCTTATGTCTGTTTACATAAGAATAAAGTCTCTTATCTGTTCCAGGATATCATTTCCTTCGAAAATAGTGACAAAATAAGATTTGGGATGTGCAAAAGTATCAAGAAAGGTAATAATACTTATGCTTAAGTGCTGGAAGAACATTTGTGTCCCCAAATATTTTTGAGGGCAAATTTTCTGTTTCATAATTGAAAATAATCCTAGGATATCTATCAAAAACATAACTTAGAAATCCGAATAGCTTTCTTAAGAAGTTGTATACAGAAAGGTTCATTATTATTGTAGTAAAATGTTATATATCACTATGGGGCAAAATTGAAAAAAAGCGGCAATTAAGGAAATTTTTGAACAGTTTTGAACTACGCTTTCAGGGTTATTTTTTCTTGTAGAAGACATCAAAATTGACTTCTATGCCAAATTTCAGGTCATTTGATGCTGTTTTTACAATTCTGTGGCTGTTTGAAGTTGAAAATGAGTGAAAATTTTGATTTTTTCACGTCTTATTTAAACTGTCACATCTTTTTATTAGTTAAAGATATTAAGAAACGCTTTTCGATTTCTAATAGTGTCATGTAAGAGCTTTGTTTTCATAATGTACAAAATTTGTAATTTTGTAGTTTTGGTACCAGTATGGGAAGAAATGTGTGAAAATTCTATGAAAAATATATTCAAGCATGCCGCAAAGATCTTAAATGGCCATTTTTCAGTCATATAAGCACATTGTGTTTTAGCCTCTGTCTTCTAGTTTTCAAAAATGTATAAACATCAAAATTTCTTTGGTACTTTTTTGAGATAAATTGATTTAAATAAGTAGTAGAATAATTCAACAAAAAATAAAATATCTTATAAAAAATACGAAACAACAACAAAAAATGAGTTTTGTATTATTTTTCGATGACAAACAATATTTGAAAACAATTTGCGAAGAAATTTTTTCAAAAAATTCAAAATCTGCTGATATATAGGGTACTTTTCATATCTGACGACTTGTATGGTTTTTGCATGACTCAAACTGCTCTTACTTTTGTGTACCTCAATATTTTTTAATTCTGTTTACAGTTTATTGTAGCTTAAATCTAGACCTTTCTAAGGATATATAATACTTTGTAGTTCAGTATTATCTTGGTCATGAATTTAGGACTTGTTTGTGAACGACCCCAAACAACAAAAAATCTCAAAAACGTCATTCCTAGAAATATCACTTGGAAACAAAATTAGGTATTGTTTTTAGGTTTTTCATGATGATATATGATATTTATGACTATTAAAACTTAAAAAAGTGTATTTCATAAATTTTTTTGCGATTTTGTGTTTTTACCTATTCTTGTTGCGGTTCAGTATGTTTTCTGATTCACTAAAATGACTAGAACTTTTTTCAGAATTAATATTTTTGCAATTTGTTTTCGATTATTGCTAGCTTAAATCAATACCTTTAAAATGATGTAGAAAACTTGCATGAAACTTTGTTATAGCAGTCATGGGAGTGGTTTGAATGTGACCGACGCAAGCTGAACTTTAACAAAATAGCCAAAATCAAGAATTTACCCATCAAAACTATTTAAAAGTAATGAATTTTGACTCAAATATGTTCCATTATGAAATATCAATCAACAAAACTCTGAAAAATAATCAAAACTTTGAGATTTTCAGACCCAATATTGTCTACTAGGGTCGTACCTTAGAAGCTACCTGAGATAGCAAAAACTTTGTAAAATGCAAATTTTTGAGTTTTAATAGTCATAACTATCATAAATCATCATGAAAAACTTCAAACCAATACTTAAATTTGTTTCTAAGTGGTATTTCTAGAAATGCCGTTTTTGAGATTTTTTGTTGTTTGGGGTCGTTCACAAACAAGTCCTAAATTCATGACCAAGATAATACTAAACTACAAAGTATTATATATCCTTAGAAAGGTTTAGATTTAAGCTACAATAAACTGTAAACAGAATTAAAAAATATTGAGGTACACAAAAGTAAGAGCAGTTTGAGTCATGCAAAAACCATACAAGTCGTCAGATATGAAAAGTACCCTATATATCAGCAGATTTTGAATTTTTTGAAAAAATTTCTTCGCAAATTGTTTTCAAATATTGTTTGTCATCGAAAAATAATACAAAACTCATTTTTTGTTGTTGTTTCGTATTTTTTATAAGATATTTTATTTTTTGTTGAATTATTCTACTACTTATTTAAATCAATTTATCTCAAAAAAGTACCAAAGAAATTTTGATGTTTATACATTTTTGAAAACTAGAAGACAGAGGCTAAAACACAATGTGCTTATATGACTGAAAAATGGCCATTTAAGATCTTTGCGGCATGCTTGAATATATTTTTCATAGAATTTTCACACATTTCTTCCCATACTGGTACCAAAACTACAAAATTACAAATTTTGTACATTATGAAAACAAAGCTCTTACATGACACTATTAGAAATCGAAAAGCGTTTCTTAATATCTTTAACTATTAAAAAGATGTGACAGTTTAAATAAGACGTGAAAAAATCAAAATTTTCACTCATTTTCAACTTCAAACAGCCACAGAATTGTAAAAACAGCATCAAATGACCTGAAATTTGGCATAGAAGTCAATTTTGATGTCTTCTACAAGAAAAAATAACCCTGAAAGCGTAGTTCAAAACTGTTCAAAAATTTCCTTAATTGCCGCTTTTTTTCAATTTTGCCCCATAGTGTATATGGTACTTTGGCTGCAATTTAGATATCTTTAAATTATGGGAACCATTTAGACTAAAGTTATTATGAATATAAAGAATTTTGATTTAGGATGTGCTCCATCTAGCGAATCTAGGATTTCAATTCCGATTAAATATTAAATATAGTAGAAGTCAGGTGCGTAGCCAGTGGGGAGGGGATATTTGGGTGACAAATCGCCGTTCGTTTACTGAAATTTCTTCATTTTGCTAGAGATTTTATAAAAAAATCTTAAATTTTCCATATAAAAATTTCCTTTTTAAATTCCTGGCTACGCCCTTGCTAGAAGTGGACTTTTATTCCTGCATGGCACAGCATAGTTAATAATAATGTGAGAGGGTTTAAGCCAAGCAATATGCTTCTACAAGCTGTAGCCAGCGATAGAGCCAGACTTAGGCAGCATCTGAGGAAGGCACTGGATCACAATTGATCCGTAAGGTTATTAAAAAGAAAAAGAAGATGTGTTTCTACAATGTCCGATGAGCTGGAGCAATGTGATCCTAATCGATGATAGAATATTTTGTTCCATCATACAACCGCTACTAAGTCAATGTTTTGACGAAAATTCGTGAAAAAAAAATCATTTGAGCTTCTTGAGATGCCTTTTGTCTGATAAGGTATGCTGTTAGATGCCATAAGTTCTCAACCTTCCAAACCGATAAAAATAAACCCCTATATTAAAATGAGTTCAAAGATATTAAAGTGATTGCCATAGTTTTAAATTAATATTTATTCACAATCTATTACCAATTCGATTTGCAATGATTGCAGTTATCTACAGTTTAAATAAATTAAAAATTCCTTACGGTTACAAACATAATACACATAAAAAGCTTCATAAAAAAAATTAAAATTTATAGTTGCAGTACGTCCATTATTTTCTATTGCCGTTCTTTCCAGATGAACTAAGATGTATGTATTTTCCATTGTCCCGTATTTTACGATATAAACTAATATATTTTCCAGCCACAACAGTTCTTGGGCAAATGAATTTTTCACAAAACAATGTCCTATATACAAGAAAAAAGACGACAGCAAAAAACAAACAAATAAGAATATAAGCACAACAATTCCTCTTAATTACAGTGTCCCATTAAAGAGTAATTTGATAGGAGCCATACCGATTTTTTGCTGCTAGACTTAATTCACCAAAACCTAAGGCTTGTAGGAACGTCAAAACAAATGTATAACAGTTGTATGTATCTTTTTTGTATGTTGCCTCTGTCCATATCCCTTGTTTACACATCTTATGCCATGAAAAAAATAGAGATATAAAGTCCTTAGTAAAGATAAACAAAAGAAACAAACAAATTCACAAATTTACCATAGCAAGTGTCTCATCCCAATGCTCAAGCCAAGCTTCCGAAACAGATTCGACAATGAGACTTTGTTCCCATAAGCTGTTACTATCACGTGGCACATGCCGTCTCAAGCCATGCCTATCAAATTCCACTATAATACCTTGAGATGTTGTGAGTGCTATATGTAGGTCAGTTTTGTTGTTATAGTCACTAGAATCATTTAAGAAGGAATGACAAAAATCAATTATCGTAGTTACTTCTGGACATAATCATTATTTGGGTATGTAAGTAGATAATTATGTAAGATTGTATACAGCAATATAGCATTTGCTAATTAAATCAAAATTACTGAATTATTCACTCAAGAGAATATAAAGTACATCCTTGAGTTTTGTGTCCTATTTAAAGATTTTATTTCTCGTTACTTGAGGGAATTTTTTACAGTCCAATGAATGTTAATTTCAGGTAGCTTGATTAAGTTTTTTATTTCTAGAATTAATTTATATCCATTAGGCTAACAAGCAGTGTTGTTATTAAGCTTTTGGAGCTTCAAGGCTTATTAAAATAAAGAGAAATTCAGAGGCTCACAAACTGTGTATCGTGGCAAAATAACTTGTTATCATAGTCAAATTTTGGAGGAATTAGGTTGATAAACACAGCATAAGACAAAAATAAATGAAATAAGACCTAATTTTGAGTTTCCTAGGCTTTTATGGTTGCTAAAAAACAATTTCGAGAAGCTAATGCCGTCAGGGAAATCATTATTTTTAAGCAGTTATCTCTTTTTTTAACAAACAAAACTCAATCTTTATTGGAGTTTAGATCCGCATATAGCTATTCAAATTTCAAAATTATTCTTCTGAGCAACTCTGCAAATTAATCCCGAGAAAAACTTCTTATCCTCAAAAAATAAAATAAAACTAAAAGTGGGACGTACTTAAGAAAATCTCCTTTTGTTGGACGTAAAATCACAGCAGCTTGCGTTTGCGATGCTCTTACAAATGGATAAGGTAATCTAAAAATAAATAAACAATTTTTTTAATCGTTTAAAGTACTGACAGGTGTATTTAAAAAATGGATTATGTTCTTCAGTGCATGAAATCTTTACGAGCATGCTACTGAATGAATGAATCATTCATTTATTCGTTGCCAAGGTTGGAAATAAATGTTGTCAATGGCTGTTGGTGTGAAAAGTTTTGCTGTCATTTTCAGTGACTGATTTTATAATTTTTCTAAAGCACATTAGTGAATTAACTCGTGTATTTTTACCAAACAATGATGGATAATGTAATTAACAGTTGATTATGTTGTGGTTATTGGAACCGCAATACAGTAACTGATTTCAGATCATGCCTCGAGCTGAATTTTGTTAAAATTTCAGTCAAATAAATTGTTTACAGCTTCATCTTTGTATTTTGTTCATTAAACGTTATTTGAACTTGATTTATTTCTTAGAAAATTGCTAACATTATTTCCAACTCTGTCAAAACCAAAATATTTTTTTTTCTGTTCGAATGTTATGCAACAAGTCTAAAGTAGCTAAGTCTAAAGTAGTATTTTTTGCATTTTTGGAAAGACGAGAACGTCAAACCTCCACCCAAAAAAGATAAAGCATGGAGAGGGCTCAGCCTTTTTGAGCTGGAGGCACTGCAATTCAAACTAGAACAGAATCTATTGTTCCACACCTGTTAGATCTAAAGTTTAAAGTAGAATCTGAACCATTTTCAACCTCTACCCAACCAAAACTAGGATAGTGAAACTTATATATACTTAGTATTGTAGCATTTTTAATTGGATTTAAGGTTCTTTATATAAAGAGCCAGAAATGAGACCTATTTTGCTCCACCACTATTTGTCATTCTAACGTTACACAACATGCGAACAACCACCATCTTAAACTCAAACATATACTCACCGAAAAGGCAATAGTCCAAAGTTATTGTTCTCGTTCAGAAGTTTTTTGCTACACAGCGGACAAATGTCGGGCAATTGAAACGAAAATATTTTTGCATTACAGTGCTGAATGCACAAAATTCCTGGATCCGATAACATTCTTGCACAATTTTTTTGTTTCTCAACAATTTTGGAATTTAATTCTTTGAGAACATCACAAATTTTTTATATTATTGCTTCTTATTTTTTGCTATGTTAAATGTTTTTTCTTATTTTTTTACTTCTCTGGGAATGTCTATTTGAAATTACATCTATGAATGTGCTGTTAGCTCATGCCTTCAAAATTGAATTATCACGAGATGATTCTGTATGCTTCCTATATTCCAAAAGAGCTATTTGCATACGCTTGTGTAGGTTTTTATTTCGTATGAAGAGCTAATTAATTAAATGTGATAAATCATTTAGCAAATTAGCACCATGCAGACAGCATCATGACGGTCATCGGTCGTGTTTGGAGATTCAAATATGAAATTTTTCATTTTACGTGTGCACTAAAAGTTAAAAAGAAAATATATTTTTCTTATGAAATTTTATTAAACTTTCTCGAAACCGACATGACAAATACACAGGTTATAATGTACTGAACGCTAATCATATCACACACGGTACTCAACAGAATAAGACAAAAACAACGGGCGAGACTATGGACTACATGGAAAAAATGAGTAAAATGCGAAATAAATCATAAAAGAATATGTTAGAGATGTAGCCATTCGAGGTTGACGGAAGCGCATTTAAAATTTAACGAATGTCAGGCAAGGTGATGAACATCTGAATTTTAAACATGTTGCATATTTACATACAATAAAGGTTCTTTAATGTCAAACCTTGACTTGTCGAATTTCCATTCAATTTGTTTGATTGGCAGACAGTGTTGCTATCTGACTATTTTAAAATGCGAATCACAACATTAGTTTGAGTTGCTTACTTGGAAGATACAACTCACAGGCCGACTACCATACATAGATCAGATAAACACCAGACCAAGACAAACCTTATATAGACTTAGCTAAAAGCTAGATCAGATCTAGACTAAACTTAGTCTAGACGTAATCTAGACCCAGTCAACACCTAAACTAGACCTAGACCGGTCATCACCTAAAGCAGTTCTATACAAGACCTAGACCAGAGCTAGACCAGACTTTGACCTGACATAACCGAGACCTAGACCAGACCTAGACCAGACCAAGACTAGATCTAGGACAGACCTAGACCCGACATAGACAAGACCAAGACCAGACCTAGATCAGATCTAGACTAGACTTTAGATTAGATCTAGATCAGACCGATATTTTGGAATTTATTGGCTGAAAAGATTTTTACAGCGACAAGATACCAGACTCTAGACATCAGACAGACATAACTGAAACCACAGTGGTAATTACTTTTGGCTAAATATTTTTTTTGAATGCAATGAGACGAAAGAAATTTTCATTGTTGCGTTTTCTTTTTCATATCACACTTTTCATTTCTATTATTATGAATTTTTTTTATTGTATAAAATTGATGCTAAGACAATAATAATATAGCAGGAAACTTAATTGTAAATGAAAGCAATTAGAGCTCTAATTGTCTCACTGCAAGACGAGATGTACGTCTTTCCATTATATTTCACATCTTTCTTTCTTTTTTTTTTTGTGTCTTATTTTTATTTTCAACTCTCTCAATTTTTTCATATTTACTTCTTCTTTTTTGCCGTTCTCCATTCATTTCAATATAGAAATAATGTAATTTAATATTCAAATAACTGAAGATTTATACTTACTTTTAATAGCTTCCTATCTATACTGTTAGATAAATTATAGGGAACTTAACAAAAATTCATTTTAAAACTCACAAATTCTTAAATTTTGCCACATAAAAATTTGATTTAAATTCTTTTATATTTTTTTTTTGCCGACTGAGCACCGTTCTCGACAAACCAACTACAGGTGAACTGCTCAATGAACTAACTCGCACGCTGTTAACTTTTTTTGTGTATTTTTTAATAATAACAAAAAGAAACAATTTTATGGTATGAGTGAGAAAAGTGTAAGTAAGAGACGAAAAAATGAGAGAACGGGAATGATTCATGCATAATTTACTGTAATGTGAGTTTAGTGTGCATACAAAAAATAGGAAGAGTCATGTAATGCTAGTTGCCTAATTGATAGGGCGTTTTAATTAAAATTCTACCATAAATTTATTGCACTTTTTCAATTATGCATGTAATTTCAATGCTGTGGGATCATGACCAAGTGCTTCAACCAAAAATGTTAATTTTAGGAATGAAATTATTTTAAAATTAAATTTTAAATTGTAGTAAATTCTGGATAGATTTACTTGAAAATGGTTTACATTCAATCGTTAATTACATTCTGGAATGTTGCGCATAAATTAATTGACGGTGATTTACAAGGATGAATTTTGAATACCTTTGATATTAAATTTCAGGACACAACTAATTAAAGGATACTATTTTAATGAGTATTAACTTTTATGAAAGGTTTGGTAACTTTTCAAAAGTGTAATAAATGAAATTAGTTTCTTTTTTTAAGGATGGTTTTCACAATCACCTATTGCAGTGGTGTCCAACCTTTTTTGTGACATGACACACTTGGAGGTAGGCCATGACCAAAACTACACATATCATACTGTTTGTGGGATATCCTAAAAAAATTTGCTGCACATAGGTTGACCATCACTGATCCATTGGGACATTTATAAATAAATTACCAATTTTGTGACAAGGTGGGAAGGTAGGGAATCAAAAAAATCTCATTTTTAAATGAACATTCTTTAAAAAAAAGCCTTCATTTGCTTAACCAGGATTTTTTAGGTCAATAAGAGAGCAAGCAGGGGCGTAGCCAGGAAGGGAAGTCCTTAGGTGTCCCCCGTAGAGATTGAAATTTCAAACAATTTTTTTGGTTTTTTTTTTAAAAAACTTTTTTATCCTTTAAATCGCAGTTAATAACCAGAAGCTTCCTAGTTTAAAGCAAGAACAATAAAATTAGCTTTTAATAATCAAATAGAGAAGGTTTTATTGATTTTTGACAATAAATTTTTTTTGAGCACCCCCCCCTCCCCCAAATTGAAAAATCGCTTGAGAGCAAGAGTGTTAAGTCGTATCTGCCGAAAATTTCATTTTATTTAAAGTGTCTTATCTTTGATTGAAACATTAAACTTTTTAAAAACCTACAGAATAAATAATTTTAATCAATTTCTGGAATTTTCATTCATTAAAATATTGACGAGATTTTTTATAATTAATAATAACTTTTTATTTGATTCAGTTTCCCATTTATTTCTTCTTTTTGAAGACTGAAACTTCTGTGACCTTATAAAACTTAAATTTTTTAGAATATTCCTACACAATTTTTCATTCTCCATCTCTGAATTTTTATGCCAAGCTGAATTTTAATTAAAATAAACTTTTTATCAGTTGAAAATTATTAAAGGCATGGATGAGCTTAATATATCTTATATGAGATATCGAATCAATTTTGAACTCTTTAAATACAATTTGGTTAGTCCTTAGCTCTTGAGTTTGAAGCAGGGGCGTAGCCAGGAATTTGAAAAGGGGGGTGGTCAAAAAAAGTTTTTCATTAAAACCCTAGCAAAATAAAGAAATTTCTGTTTACGTTGGGCGATTTGTCCCCCAAATCCGCCCCCCCCCCCCCCTGGCTACGCGCCTGGTTTGAAGTAAAAAAGCTACTATACAAAAACAAAGCGTCAAATTTACTACAAAAATATTGATAATTTTAATATTGACACAAAAGCTAAGCTTCTAAATCCACAAATCATTTCTAATGCAAACATCTCAAAAAGCTTAAACTACAGAATAAAAAAAAAATCAAAGTCACCCTATGACTAAGCACATTACCTATGCGCACTTCGCACCTAATTTGATGAACTACAAAAAAATTACTAATAATTGTATATTACGACAGTCCATAAATTACAGTCATTATCAATAACCGTCAAACCACCTGTTTGCATTTCACATCCGAAATAATAATAATTGTAAACAAACTTATTATGGCACAGATGGCATCATCTTGACTGGAAAGTTTGTGTACAAGCTCTAAGACAATCGTGACTATGGTTAACCCCCCTAATAAAAAATAAATCTAGAATCAAGTTAATATCGAAAATCTCTGCTCATAACGATGAGATATAAAGATAATTTTGTCATATTGTAGACGAATAAGAGGCACAGCATCCGCACTTAATTGTCCAAATAAGCGGCAATTGTAACGAAGACGAAATAAATTAAGATATTTTATTACAAATATACAATCAGAATGGAGCAGTAATAGTAGCGTAAAAACCCCCAGTAACACGATAACTACCTTAAAACACCTGTAAAAACGTACGTCATGTACGATAAAGAAATAAATGTGATGAGCTGATTTAATGTGTTGGGAATTTTTTCTCCATTCGTGCAGTGCAGGAAGTTCGCCTCAGAATGATAACGAAGAAATTTTTTTATTTTATTCTGCATTATGATGCGAGAAAAGAGTACCGACGATAAAAAAAATTGTGACTTATTAAATTTTCCGAACGAAATATCAATTTTTCATGAATTTGGGGCACAACTTGGAAAAGGTGATTATTTTCATACTTTGTCAGACTGTACATCCGTGATTTCTGTCTGTCAAGGAATTTGAATTTTCATTCTGTATGTTTCTGGTTTTCTTTTGTTATGCTATATAACAGGTAGTAATGTGAAGCGAAATAATAAAAGTGTGGGTCAGAAAAGATTAAAGGTAGCCCAAATTTGATGCGAAATCAGGATCATTCATGTTACACTTCTTTTCTGTCAAATGAATTACTTTAAATTGCTAGTATTTTTCATAAAAATCATTCAATACACCCCCCCCCCCCCCCCCCTCCTCTTCTAATTAACAAAAAACTGAAAATCTACCTTTTTTTTTAAATTTAAATATAGCCACGTGGACGTCCCAAGAACTCTTGGAGAGAAGCTTTTGACAGAGACAGTATTACACTTGGTATCGGTAATTGGCAAGCGGTAGCCTGCGATAGAGCCAGCTTCAGACGCCATCTAAGAAGGGTCATGGACCACAATTGATCTGTACGGCCAGAAAAGTAAGTAAGTAGCCTTTTGAAGGGCAATAGTGAAATAAGAACGACCAATAAAGATGATGATGAACATTCTTCAACTGTTATTTTCAAATTTACTCGAAAAATGCGCCTTTGTCATCAACAAGTGTCCACTTGTATCTATTTATATCTCATAATTCCAACATAGTAGGGGAAAATCAATGACTTGTGTAGTAAGGAATGAAAGGAATTCTTTTGATGCCATGACTCACTGTACAACGAAATTTGAGTGAGGAATTTCGATATTGAAATATTCAAAATTTTTCTACGCGTCATCATCGTTTTACTGCCAAAAAAAAAATATTAAAATTTGTTGGAAATACTATTAAGTCATTCGGCAACTAAAACGTTGTACACACTTTGCTGACAAGATTAATCACACTCAAAACAGTATCGAAATACGTTTGGGAAATCCGTTTTATTTTTGAGCGGAGAGAAATACAAAAATAATAATTAAGTACCATTAATCACCACATTAGCGGTTGTTTCTGCTTCTCAAATTGTAAATAAATAAATAAAACAATTACCGGCATGAAGCTATTCGGGTAGTAAAAGGTAATAGATTATTACATCATAAATAATTGAAAAATTCCCCAAATTTAAAGCGGACCTTAATTCTCATTTTTTTGTGTGTTCTATTTAAAGGGGGATTAATTTTGTGCTCGGAAAAATTATCTTTTGTGTTTTCCCCAAAAGTCAAATTATCAAAGTTAATGGATCATAGAGAAACGTGTTCATGGCTTTTAATGAGAGTTTGGTATTCTTCAATTAGCATGACAAGATTTCCTTCACGAATAATATTTTAAGAAGGAAGGAAGAGATTAAAGCTCTTTTACATTCCACAAAATTTTCCTCAAGTCTTTTGACCTTTTCGAATGAATGCAAAACTATTAAAAGAAGGAGCTGACATGTCTGTGTATTATTTTATGTATTCTTCAGTCACATAAGGAGTCATTCACTTTTCATGTCAAGATTTTTAATTGTAAACATCTTGGCAGGTGGTAGCGAATCCATCTGCAGGGTTTGCCAGTGACGTCCGTCAAAAAATGACATTTAAAAAACCCCCATTTTTTAATTCACAATTTTTATGATTTTTTGAAGGGAAGTTTCACATCCTCGCATCCGCGTAAAAATTTGAATCATCATTTATGAACGACCCCATACAATCTTTTACATTTTCTTATATCACACAAGTTTTGTACATTTTTATTTCACAGTATTCAAAATGCTTGATATTCAACTCATACATCATTCATTCCAAAAAGGGATAGTCTTGCGGCTTTTCAGCTAGCATAAATTTCATTTACAAGGATAATCATATCATAGCATTTTTATGAGCACCAAAAAAAAGTCCGTATGATTCAAGGGTAAATCAGCATTAAAGAGAAAATTTTCATAAACATTGAACTTTATGCTTTCTTCTTTCCCTTTAATTTTGTCGGATTTATGGATCTGATTTTGGGTGAATTATTGAGTCACAATTTCTATTCTATTATGACGTCCATCAATAAGAAAAAGAGGAGGTGGGGAGGGCATAACATTTTGGACAGATCTTAGCTAGGAGGGGGAAGGGTTTTGAGATTCCAATTTTGTTGGACATCATAAACGATCGACCCTTTTTGTACATCCTCTTCCATGGCCATTAAATTATACTCGTGTAATAAGAGTCGAGGATGGAAATTGTAACAAATCTCCCAAATGGTGGGATTCGATTTGGGTTGCATGACGCGCAATAAAATGAACATTATCCAATGTCATGAACATTACTACACAAATGTTTATGAACTTTTAAGCGAAGTTATGTTTTCAATTTAGAATTTTTCCATGAGTAACATATTTATGGGTGG